GGCACGGTGTCCGTCCCCCCTTCCGTCCCTCCTTCCTTCCACAGATCTGGACCGCGCCAGATTCTGCACCAGGCGACCTGAGAGGCTGATAGTCTGGAAAATTCTGCGTCCCTGCCATGCAGGCGTGAGGAGAACAGTAGATGCGGAGAAGTGTGCTGCTGGGTCAGACCCGAGCTCCCACCAGGCCCCACGAACACTCCTTGAGCCCGTGCTTCCGCGGGCGCCTCCGCCCAGCTGCCCTCCAGCCCAGGGGGAGAAGTCCAGCCCCTCGCGGCGTCCTGGGTGCTGAGCCTTCTAGAATGTTCCAGCTCCGACAGCTTGCATTCTGTCCGCACTCATCAGGGTTGCTTAGGCGGCAGTCTCGCTGTCGTGCCCTCTGCCTGCCTCAGCAGCGCGGAGACCCCGTCCGCAGCCTGCACCCGGGAGGCCAGCACTTTGTGGTCTGGGCACCAGCTGGGCCCGGTGAGCCCCCCGCGAGTGGACGGCAGTGGACGGGCACGTGAGGCGCGGCGGGGCCTGCCTCGGGCTGGCGGTCCCAGCGTCACCGGCCGCGTCCGCGCTGTGCATCTGTCAGGGGAGGGGCTGCAAGCCCGGGCACGCGGCCCCCTCGTGCCCAGGGGACAGCCCAGGGCCCCTCGGGGCACACGGTGAAGCTCTGACGCCCTCGACCGCCCGGTGCCCACCATCCGGGAGCACGTTCACCCATCTCAGCCCTGCGAGTGCTCCTTGCTGGTGGGAAGCCGAAAGCTAAGACGGCGGTCACGTGGTCCCAGCTCTGCCAGGGCTGGGAGAAGGTCTCCCCAGCTCCGACTTCCTCCCACGCCCAGCCCGGCCGCTCCCCATCACGACAAGGTGTCCCCGACAACGGCATCGAGGGGATCCGGGGCGCGTCGCCTTGCGGTGGATGCACCTAAGCTTCAGCTGCAGCTCGCTGGACATTTTCAGCGGCAACTCTCGGGGCGCATTCTTGCTTCCCGGCGCATCAACTCACTGCCCCTTGCGGTCGGCTCCCGCCTCCCGCCTTCTATAATTTTGGATCGTGAGCTTATCCTCAGTGAGGATTTGTCTGGGGGACCTCCACCCGCCCGAGTCGGGGGCGCAGCCCTCAGGAGACCGAGCATCGGCTCCACGTGGCCGGAGCCAGCCGTCAGGTCGGGGCATCAGGACCAGGTGGGCGGTAAAACTTTGGGCCTCCGGCCTCACCCAGATGCAGGCCCGCACCGCAAGCTTGGTGGTTTGAATCTCTCCAGCTCAGGTCAAAACTGACCCGTCTATCTCCCCGAACTGGCAGGTGGTGTTTCCTTTGGAACCTAAAATTTCACGGATTTGTACGTCAGCGGAACCGAACGTCCCCGCGTGCAGAGCTCTGGGCCCGACTCCGTCCCTGCCACTGCGGCCCCTGGACTGGCAGCCCCGCTCTGCGGAGGAGGCCCCGGCCGCACACCTCCCCCCGCTCTGGCCTCCGCACCACCATCTTAGTCCCCCTTTGTTTCCGGGGCCCAGGCTCTCCAAGGGTTGTTCGTGTCTGCCCGGGACGTCTAGGCGCTGCAAGGCCAGGAAACTTTCGGAGCCTCCGCTCGGCCCCACCGCGGCTCATCTAGAGCTGCCTCTGCACTTGATGGAGAACAGGAGCCCAGAGAGGGGAAGCAAGCTGCCCGGGGCCACACAGCACGTGCGAGACGCGTGGGCCCAGGCATCCTGATGAGTGTGTCTGTCCCACAGGCCACGAGCCCACGCGGCCTTCGGCCGCCCCCGCCCCCACGCGAGCCCCTCCAGCGGGGCAACAGGGAAGGGAGGACACACTCACGCTTCCTGGAGCCGAGCTGCAGGTCCTCCACGCGGTAGACGGACAGCCGGCCGACGCCCCCGCACACGGAGCCCTTCTCCCCTTTGCACTCGTGGTTACACGCCTCCGGCCGGACGCTTCTCACCGGCAGACGGTTCCCGCAATAGCACTCGGCCCCAGCCTCCAAGCCCGCGTACACGTAGGACCTGCAGGGAGAGCGGCCCCGGCCCCGGCCCCACGGCGGCCGCGACCGAGGTCAGGGTCAAGCCGGGAGGCCAGGGCGGCGCCGTCGGCACACGGCTGGCCGTAGGGGCGGGTGTTCGGCCAGACTTCGGGGTCCCCCGGCTGACGTTGGGGAGCAGGCCTCCCTTCGTGATAAACTAGAGGCCAGCGCTTTCACGCCCCCGGCTCCGAGGCCTGAAACCCCCTGGCGCTCCGCATCCTCGTCTGTGGCCACCCGCTGGCCACGCGGCCCCGACCATCCCTTACCACCCCCTCGTCTGTTCCCCGAAACGCTGGGAAGGTAAAAGGGCACTTAGTCGGTGCCACTTTCTACTCTGTCTGCCCTGCAAGGCTGAGCCCCTCCTCTCCGTTCCGGCCTCAGTTTCTCCATCTATAAAAGGGGTGCAACGGATCGTGACCAAGCTGGAAGGCTTCCTGGAGGAGGTGACGTTGAAGCTGAGCCCTCTGTTGTAGTCTGAACATAAAGTAAACCGAGGCCCAGGGAAGCGTCCTCCGTGACCCGGGGGGCTGACCCGTCCTGCTCCGGGCGCAGCAGGACGGCCCCCTGGCGGCCACGCGCCCCCCGGTTCGGCACGGCTGGACGGCCCGGGGCCCTCACTCACCGCTCAGCGCACGCGTCCTGGCAGTGGGACACCGTCATCTTTCTCAAGTCGAAGAACACGGCGCCCCTCAGCCTTCTGTCGCGGCCACTGTCGCTGAAGCAGCCGACGTAGGCACCTGCGGGCGGGGAGCACGGCAGAGACTCAGGCCGGCTCGGGACGGTCCTGCCGCGCGCCCACCCTCGGGAGGGGTCCTCGGAGGGCCCGGGCGCCAGGCGAGGTCGCACCTGCCCCCGGCGCTCGCGGACGCCTGTCCCCGCACGGCCACCGCTTCCTCTAGCAGCCCCACCTCACCGCGTCTGCCGCCGAATCCCCGCCCTGGACCCCTTGTCTCCATCCCCGCCCGCCCCCTGCTCGGAAAGCGCCCCCCGCCTCCACGAACGTCCCGACCGACGGGTCCTGCCACCTCTGTAGGATCCGGAGGGAAGAAATCAGTTATGGTAAATCTGACTTTTGCTAAAAAGAACATCCTGCAAACGGGAACAGCTATCTCAAGAGAAAAACCTGCGTTCGGGGGGGACGTGAGCCGCCGTGGCTGGAGGTGTGGACGCGTCTGTCGGGCGCCACGGGACTGCTGAGCGCTCGCCCGCCCGGGCACCTCTGCAGTGGCGGTGACGTCCCAGCCGGGACAGCTAACCTCCCCGCCCCCCGGCGCAGAGGGGTCTCCCAGAGATGCGCAGAGAAGCCCGGAGAACACGAGCACAGAGCCAGTACTCCGGGCGCGTGGACGCACCGCCACGTGGCTCAGGAGCTCCCCGGGCTCCACGCCGCGCATGCACGCCAGGGACTATGCCCAGACGCCGCCCGCTGCCCAAGGACGTCTGAAGGGCACCCACACAGCACACACCGCCTCTGGGGGGTGACGCGCCCAAGGCGTCCCCACGGCCGGTGGGACGACGCCCTGCCCCCAGCCCGCTGCCCCGAGGGCAGGCGACACTCCAGTGTTCGTGCTGGGATCCCGGCCCAGAGCAGGAGCCAAGGGGTTCGGAGAAGTGGGTCCCTGACCTGCATTCCCGGGGCCGCATCCGGGAGCGACAGTCCCGTCTGTGAAGTCCACACCTAACTGTGTCTCTGACCTTGGCTACATCACAGCAACGTCCTGTGCCTCAGTTTCCCTAACCGCCCAGCGGATAAAGGCCCACCACCTGCCGCACCCCGCCCGAGCCCCTTCCCCTTGCCCCCTGCGTGCAGCTGTGCCTGCCCCCGCTCACGCCCACCCTCCGCTTCCCGCCCGTCCTGGACAGGCGTCCCCGACCACGCCAGCCCGCCACGGACCACCAGCCCGCCACGGCCTCTCCTTGCTGCAGATTCCTGCATTCTGTATCTGAAAACCTGGTCAACACCCAAATGCGTCTCCTAACTACTGCTGTTGAAAATCTCTTACACCCGTGTGCCCTGTGTCCGCGGCGTGCCGGGGCCCCAGGACCAGGCTGACGCCCTGCAAGGACAGGGCTGGAGAACAGGAGCTCAGACGCAAGGAGGGGCTCCCAGGGCCCCGAGTAACAGACACGGAGCAGTGGGAGGTGAGCGGGTGGCCAGAGACGGGACTCCACCCCCGAGCTGGGGTCGCCGAGGCAGAGCCCCGGGGCAGTGGGGAGCGAGGATCACCTTCCTCACTGTCTGTCCGCGGGGCCGTGAGCCTCCCTGTCCCCTTGGCCCCAGGACGCCCATCACCAGCCATGTCCACAAGCACCAGCTCTCGCTCAGGCCGCCGGCCCCCCGGGGTCACGGATGGGTCAGGACCCCTGAGACCAGACCCACCCCTCCACCAGCAGCAGGAATAAAGGGTTACCCTCAGCGGCCTACTTGGTGAATGAAAACTAGTATTTGAGAAATTTCTGATGTGTTGCTCAGCAAAGAAGAAATTCTGTTACGACTTTCAATTAAGCCCCAAAACACAAGCTCAGGGGTGGTTAGACGTTTATCACCGTTGATGGGAAATTAACCGTAAGCGTGTAAGGGGTCCACGGCCGGGGCTGGGCGGCGGGGCGGGGGCACGAATCTGGGCCTGTGCCGCCCCCTCCCCACTGTGCCTCGGCTTCCCCACTGTGAAGTGGGGACGAGCCCCGCGGGCTCGGGAGGGCAGAGAGAGGGGGTAACAGGCGGGCGGTGGGAGGCAGGCGCGGCCTGCAGGGCGCTGGGGGGCCACTGTGTTGATGTGAACAACAAACAGGGCGCGGACTCTGCAGGCCCTCACCGCTGAGCCGGCGGCCCCCCTCCTGGCCCCCCGCGAGGCCGTCGGGGATGAAGTGAGTCAGCGCTTGGGGTCCCAGCAGGAAGCGCTGGGCGCGGCCCAGGCTGTCACCACTGTGCTCGGGCGGCCGGGACCCAGCCGGACGCTGGACGGGAAAACGGCAGTGGGGTACCTGGCCTGCGGGCGGGCGAGAGAGGAGCAAACGCTTGGGGGCCGCGCCACGGGACCCCCGCGCCCGCTCCGTCCGGGGGAGGCGACCAGCCCTCCCTCCTGGAAAATCACCGGGCGGCTCTCCCAGCTCCGAGGGAGCCGAGGGCGTCCGGGGGACACACTGGGACGCATTCGGAGGCAGATTTATTGCTTGCGGCTAAAACGGAGGCAACACATTACTGTCTGTGAGTCTGCATCTGTTCATTTGCACATCAACACGGACGTGCCGTGAGGCTGTTAACGCTGGCTGTGGAGATATCGGAATGTCTTTGGAAATCACTATCAATAAAAAACAAACTGGCGCGGGGGAAGTTACTATTTCTCCCCTAGTAAACTTACTGACATTTTACTCCATTATGGATGTTGTCCAAGGTGTAATGAAATGCTCGGTGATTGATGGGCCTCTTGCAGCTCTAGCCCCCGCAGGGCCCTTCCAGGAGCATGGCGGGCTGCCCGGCCGCAAAGAGCCACTCTGTCTGTGACGAGCACGACCAGCCCGGGGCCGGGGGGCGCCCCGGGTGACACCACAGCCCCCCCCAGAGCACAAACGCTTCCCCCAGTCCTGGGGGCCGGGGAGGGCACAGGCCACTCAGAGCTGCCATCCTCTACACTGGCCCTGAGCCTCCTCCTCGTGCTGGGTCATGGGGAGGGCGCCCCAGGGCTCACGGCAGTCAGCACGCCGACACTCCCCTCTGGTCCCTAGCACGTCTCACCCTAGTCTCTTCAGCCGCCGCTACCCCCGTCCACCGTGCAGCTAGGGGGGACGCCGTGGAGCCCAGGGCTGCCCCCGGGGTTCTGACTGGGTCACCCCAGCCCTCCCCTCTGCTGGCCAGGTCATAACGACCTTCCACCCGAGCCTCAGCACTGCTGCATGGTGACGGTTCGGCCCCAGACTGAGCTCCTCGAGGGCACAGACAGTAGCAGACTCAGGTGTGGATCCCCGAGAAGGGCAGATGGAGAGAGATAAAGAGGAATTGACCTCTGGCCAATCTGCCCAAGGTCACAGAGCCAGTGACCGGCTGTACCAAGAGAGAAACCCAGGTCTGTTTGCAAAATCTGTACTCTTTCCAAGGCTGCTGCTCAAGGATTCTGTGTTGACTTTGTCAGTCATTCACACTTGAGTCTAAATGAGTCACGCGGGTATAGTCCGCACAGAGACCCAGCTTCCTGGGGTGCTGGGGCGAGTTGACAGAAGGCAGGCCTGTGCAGACTGAGTGGCAGAATCCGTTCCTCATGTCCCCCTTTCTTAGGTGGAAGCCTCCTGAGGAACCCCGCAGTAAGGGCTCTGACCCACGTGATCTCGGGAGAAACCTTCTGTGAAGACAGGAGGGCACTGTCCTCTGGGCTTCACCGACCATCAGTCATCCCTCCAACGCGAGGGCCGCGGGGGCTCCTCCCTCTTCCCTGGACCTTCTCACCATCCTGAGAAAAAAGGCCTGGCCCTCCTCCTGACCCGCCGCCTCCAGGCTGCACTCCGAGATGTGCACTCTGCCCTCCTTCCAAGTCCGTCCCCTGCCATGTTATCTTCCCCAGCTCCCTCCTCGCTCCCTGCCAGTGTTCTGGGGTCACACCCCAGACAGACCAAGGCTTCCGGGGAACCCAAAGCAGGAGAGTGACCTCGACAACTGACTGAACATCCCCATACCCAGTGTCTCCCCTGGGGGATCGGGATACCACGATAGTGGTGACGCCCATAAATACCATTTACAGGTGCACTGTAAACACCGTGGCAGTTAGCTGCCGGTGACCGGTGCCGAGAAACGACCGGGCCCTCCCACCCAGGGCTCTCCGCCTGCGCGAGCACCAGCATCACCCGCTGACGGTGTGCAGACACGCCCCACCCCGCATTCGGGGGAGGCCGAGGACCTGCACGTGGGACAGCCTGCCACGCTGGGGCCCTCAGTGCGGTCCCATCCCATCCCCACACTAGCCCTGGGGTGGGTATCTCTGTCTCCACTCCCCAGGGACCCGGGGCCGTTAGGTCACATGTCCAAGGTCACTGTCAAGCCTGCCGCTAAGCCAGGACGCAAGCTGAGGTCCACCCGAACCCAGAGGCTGGGCTCCGGGATGACGGGGCCGGCCCAGCCAGGTGCGAGCAGAACTCCCGCAGAGCGGACAGAGCCGGTGGTCTGGGGGCCGCGGGCCTGAGGACCTCCATCCCAGGCGGGCCCGGGGCCAGAGAAGGGGAAAGCCAGCCCTGCCCCCCCGGGCCCGGGCCCCCC